TTACGGTCATCGCCCCCCCCCCCCGGTTGTGGTCCAACCTGTTCACACCCTTATCTCAATGAGCGAATCAAGCTTCCAGCCTCAGGGAAGAGAGGGACAAAGAGAGAAGTGGGAAACCAAACATAGAAACCTCAAAGGGCAAAATGAGGGGGAGAGGGAACAAGGAGATCCTGCAAGATTGTAGTTGGCTTATTCCTAACATTTAATCCTGAGATTATGTTACTGGGTGGGTTGATTGTTATTTTTTTCGACTCTGTACCATGGAATTTTGTAATTATGTGAGAATTTCAGCTATTCTCAAATTAAAAACAAACATGAACCACCAGCATCAAGATGCATGTCCTTAGCCTGCCAGATTGCAGAAAGCTGGAAAATGTGAATGCATTATTTTTAGTGTTGTGATTTTAAAATTCATCTCCTGATTCTTTCTGGAGGGCGGGAGTTGACTTCTGGTTGTAAAATGTAAAATGGGTGGTGGTTCTATCCCAGCCAGACAAAGGTGAAGAAAACCAGAATGACAGAGGCCTCGGGGCACAGTCAGTGAATCAGAGAAGTAGGTGTTAATAACCAGAAAAATGGGAGAGAATGGGGACTCCTGGTCAGGGAAACAACCAGACCTGTCAGGCTGGAAAGGCCACAGGGAAGCTGAGGAAACAACTGACCACTCCTCTGCCCCTCACCACTTCTCTGGAAGGTGTGGAGAAGAAGCTGGTCGGACAGGAGAAAGAGGAGGTAAGAGGAGGAGCTCAGGCAGAAAAAAGAGGAGGGCAGACAGGAGGAGCAGGAGGTCAGGCAGGAGGAGGAGGAGCAGGTCTGACAGGAGGAGAGGGAGGAGAATAGGCAGGAGAAGGAAGAGGTCAGGCAGAAGGTGGAGGAGGAGATCAGGCAGGCGGCGGAAGAGGAGCTCAGGCAGGCGGAGGAAGAGGAGCTCAGGCAGGCGGAGAAACAGGTCTGACAGGAAGAGAGGGAGGAGATCAGGCAGGAGGAGGTCAGGCAGGCAGAGAAACAGGTCTGACAGGAAGAGAGGGAGGAGATCAGGCAGGAGGAAGAGGAGATCAGGCAGGAGGAGGAAGAGGAGGCCAGGCAGGAGGAGGAGGAGGTCAGGCAGGAGGA